TCCACCCCCAAAAACTTCAGTTGAGCCCAGAGTTTGCAGTTTGATCTTGAGAAGTGCTGTGCCTCTATTTTATTTCATAATTTTAATTATATTCATAGAATCACAGAATATTAGAGGTCATCAAGTCCAGTCCCCTGCCCTCATGGCAGGACCAAACACTATCTAGGTCATCTCTGATAGATATCTATCCAACCTATTTTAATTAACAGGCATCTTAAGAAAAGAAAAAGGTCACCCATTCACTAGAAGTATAAATGAACGCTGTGATATTCATCTATAAAGTACAGTGCAGAAAATTTCACATCCATTCAGAAACTTAATACACCTCATGAATATCTTGGCTATACATAAAATAGTCTTGTTCTGTGACCTGGTAAACCATATCAAAATCATCATCACCTGCAAGGTTTAGCTCTTCTACTGAGCTCTTACTCCATTAAGTCATTTGCTGCTGTAACAGGAACTTCCTCTGTGTGGTCAGAATTAATCCATTGGCAGAAATGGTCACCAGCAAAATCAATATTTCTCTCAATACAGTAAGAGATGCAATTCAATGGAATCATCCCCAAGAGTGCTAATTCAGCTGTCAGCTGGAAAGGTTGTAGTCAATACCCTTGTGAACAGGCACATTTTTGGGCAATGTAGCAGGGTGGTCACACTGCTTCAGGCAAAAAAAGGGTTAAAACAGCTCTGGGAGAGGGCTATAGCTAGGGGTCAATCAAGAGAGGCCTTGCGGCAGCCAGTCAAAACCCAGGAGGACCATATAAAAGATGTGGCTGGGCAGGCAGAGAACCCTCTCACTCCAGCACTGGAGGAAGAAGGACCTAGATGCCTGCTAGCTGAGGTATCACAGACAGACAGAGCAGTGCCGGGGAAAGGTAGAGCGAGCCGGGGAGCTCCAGCCTGAGTAGTCCTAGGCTGAGGCCCAGTGACAGAGGCCTGAGGGATACTAAGGCCAACCCCCTTGCCTATGATAATGGGCCATGTCAGACTGCAGTTTGCCCCTGATGTAACTGATGACTGGCAGTTGGGTCATTGAGGCAAGGTGGATATAGGGTGTGGAGGGTTCCTTGAGGGGGATGACCCCAGAGGGCGGGGGCCCTACCATGGGGCAGTACCTGGAGGAAAGGGAGCTGCGGTCTAGGAGGGACGTGGGTTCCAACACAAAGGGGTGGAGAATAAAAGATAACAGCAGGTGTGATACCCACTGGAAGGGGGCAATCCAGGACTGAAGAGCTGATTCCTCGAGTGACCAGCAGGAGGTGCTGGACTAGTGGGTCACACTGTGTTATAGACAGACTTTGCAGTCATTAAAACTGCTCCTTCTCTGAGGGGACGCGTTAGCTCCTTTGCCATGACATGCTAGTTTTGGTTTATGCATCTAGCCATTTGCCTCCTTCCTCTCATCTGATTACCATATACTTTTATGAGGCATGATATTTACATGGAGCCTTAAAATGTTTTGGGATGGGGGGGATGTAAACTAGGTCAGTAAGTTGAAGGCATTACATCTGAGCTGAGCCAAAATACAAGACACAAAGCATATTAAGTTCTAGTTCTTATACTCATTACCACACTCAGTACATACATATACCACATGCCTACACAGCAAATTAAAACCTACAGTACTGGGACCTCTCCATATTTCAAACAAGCTAGTGTGTTTTAGTCTGCCATTGTATGTGTATACTTGCCAACAATAGCCCCTATAACCTGGCCTTTGTTTATAAATGTCAAACAAAGTGAAAAGGTGGGAAGAGAGGGGCAGTTTGCTTGGTGGTTCCTTTTTTCCCCTTTTAGTAAAGGAGGGATGTATCACAGCTATCAAAGTCACTCTTACTGTCGAAAGGCCCTTTTGCAGAGGAAGAGTCTTGGCATGTTTTCCTAAAATGAGTCTGACTCTGGATTCACATAATCTGTTCAGGGAGTTTGTTCCACAGAGTCTCAAGCGAGACTGCCTTTCCCCTGCTCTTATGCACTTAGTCATGGGCTTTGTGAACTGCTGATGCTTTGCTATTTTCATGTCTCTAAACTTCCAGGTACCTGAACAAAGTGCACCCTGGTGCAGCCAGTGGATTGTCCCTTCTACCTCCCCGTTGAATCCCCAACATGTGGATGAGTATTGCCATGTTCCACTATACTACAAACATCAATGAAGGTGTCAAAGAAATGTGCTGTAATGTACCTTGAGCCTTTTCTCCTTCTCCACATTGTCTGTCAGTTTTTTTGTCCTGGAATAATGAACAGCTGGTATACATAGCTGCTGGCTGCTCTGAGTGATAGATGAATGGCCATGCTGGATCATGTTGCAGGGAATTGTTTGTATCATAAACTGACTTACAAGGCCAAACAGAGCTAAGGCCCACCATCCTCTCTACAGCTCACTTTTGTTCAGTGCAGGTTAGAACACAAACAATGAACTTCAGAACCTGCAGGAAAATAAAACAGCTTGTACCTACCTGCAGCTAATTCCACTCCAGTCTATGGTAGCATAATCCAGAGGATAGACTTTGTGCTTAGGAGTCCAGAAATGGTCCAGTTAATAACTCCATCTCCTTCTTCCCACTGCTCTCCTTTAATTTCCCCTTCATAGTTCATTGTTTAAATTTTAGTCTTTGTGATCTGGCCATGGTGCTGAACTGCTGGTGGGACAGGGCTGGGCATACTCCAAGGTGGTTCTTTTCAGAAAAAATGTACCTGGGCCATTTGTGAATTGGTTTATTTCCAATGTAGTAAATCAGCATGATTTAAATTTGTTGATTTAAAACAACAACACAACTTGCTAATAAGTTTTGAAGCTTTTCACTTCCAGATCATCCATTCAGTTCCAGCCCAGGTCAATAGCAGATACTACCTCATAGCTGTTCCATGACCTATGTGAAATAATTGGACTGGCTCAGTCAACTTCTGAGTAGATAGAGGTCCACAGCACAAAAAGACACCGTGTCCTCCATCAAAGAAGCGAAGGACTAATAGGACTGTGGAGATGGAAAGTTAAGTCTAGGACACAGTTTAGGAACAGTCAGTGTAGTGTGGGTAAAGTGTACCCTGCTGCATCCTTTCTATGCCTGCTCAGTGGATAGAGAAAGGATTTAGTGTTCCAACCTTGAGAATCTCGCACTTCTGACTGCCACTGTTTGGAGTTCTCTGCTCATTATTTTCAACTGGTTCCTCTATGCAAAATGATGGGGACTAATTTAGTTATAACCACTCCACAGAAAGATCTTAGAGTCATTATGGCTAGTTCTCTGAAAACATCCACTCAATATGCAGCAGCAGTCAAAAAAGCAAATAGGATGTTAGGAATCATTACAAAAGGGATAGAGAATAAGATGGAGAATCTCTTATTGCCTCTCCATGCTATGCCCATATCTTGAATACAGCATACAGATGTGGTTGCCTCGTCTCAAAAAAGATATATTGGCATTGGAAAAGGTTCAGAAATGGGCAACAAAAATGATCAGGGGGTTGGATTGAATGCCATCTGAAGAGAGATAATTAATAATAAATTATGCAGATCATTATTTAGGTGATTTAGGGACAATGAGGGTAGTGACAACCATTGCCTAGTAATTCCCTGAACAATTCTTCTTTAACTCAGTATTTTCAGATCCTCTCTTTAATGGGTACCATTGTCATCTCATCTAAACAATGCTAAAAAAATAAACGAACTTGTGGTAAGTGTGTGTGAGAAACAGACGTAGTAAGTGCCATTGTCCTTTTCTGAGCTCTGCTAGATGAAGACTCTGTACATAGCCCATGACATGGAAAGCATTCCAGCTCATTGTCATGGCAATTTATGGGGAGGAACGATTGAAAGGCACAAAACTTGCTCTATTCTGTTGACTAAGCTGCTTTCTGTGGCTATACAGAGAAGAGCTAACAGCAGGTTAAGAGGTAAGCTTGGGGCTTATTCCAGTTCTTTATTCTCTACCTACCACAGGAAACCGCTCAAGATCTCAGAGCTTGAGTAATAAATACAATAATAAATACCCAGCATTTATATAGCCCTTTTCATGACTTGAAATATATATCTCCTTTACAATTTCTTGGAGAGCTGGAACCATTTTGGAACAGAGGTTCAAGGGGTTAATTCTAAACTTAAGAAGTGACATTGATGACATCAATGTTGCCTAGATTGTAACATTTTTTACAGGATCCAGTTGACTGGTCAAATGACCGGTCCTGTTGACTGCAGTGGGTCTTACCATTTGTATAAAGGCTATGGGATCAGGGCTATGGTAATACTTTGTGCTGTCCATCTGAGGGTGCCAATGAACTTTACAAGTGTAAATTGATCAAAACTCACAACACTCCTATGAAGTAAGCAATCCTTCCTTCCCTCCTCTCCCGTCATAGATGGAAAAGTAAGCTACAGATAGGTAAATTCATGGAGGAACCAGAAAATAGGATCGAGATCTCCTGAATGTATGTCCTGGAGACTTAACTGCAACAGTGTTCTTCTGTAATAGAGCTTGATCCTGAGCATGTCCTGAAAAATGCTCAATTCCCTGAATCTCCATTGTCCACAAAGCTTGGCTGCAATCAAGGGCAATAGAAATCTTTCCATTGGCTGTAAGGGAAGAAGGGTCAGGCCCTGAATAAAGGACATGGTTGAATGTATCAACTGAATCACAGTGGCTCCTAGTCTACACAGAGCAAGTGCAAATGGAGACAGATAGTTGCATTTCCCATATCCTGATTTACTGATTATTGATTATGTTGAGGCCTTTGAGTCTCCTGATCTTAAACATTTACAACACCACCAAAAAAGTCTGTTTCCTGTGCAGTGCTCCATAAAACACAAAGCAGTTTCTGTTATTGTCTGTAGTTTTCATTGCTGAACTCCCTCTAGTGGCTGATGATTTCAACTTTATTTCTTTGGTACTGTGTGAGCACAGAACTGGAGGGAGGAGGGAGAAAAGAGGTCATACTGATTAGTCATTGCAAGGAACTACAAATACCAGAAGCTCTCAAAACAGCCATCGAAGGACCCCAGAATAGTGCAACAAATTAAATATTCCCTAAATATCTGTTTTAAAAAATACTGTAAAGCTCTAATCTCTGGAAAATAACCATTCTTGGGAACTATTGCCTGATTTGATTTTTCTATCAGCTGCTATTTTTCTTTTTGGTGCATGCCAATTTCTACCTCATACCAAAGCCACAGAAAAAAGGAAGGACCCTGACCTTTAATCCTGTTTTGCAGTGGATTTAAGAAGAAACAATTGCAACAGGCTGGAATTAACTAATGGAAAAACTCCTGAAAACCGAATTGAAGACCTCCATTCTGAAGGCATTTGGGAGCTCAGGAGGAGGGTATATTAGCCAAGGGCAGAGCTATGAAACTGACAGCGGGCGAGTGTTTGTGAAAATCAATCACAAGCCTCAGGTTAATGTTGATAATATTGCGCATGTTCTCTGCAATTTGCTTTATTGTCTGGAGAGCTTTTGTTGATTATTTTAAATTGTGTGTTTTCAAATGTAATGCATTTCTCTCCTTTTAAAAGCCCATCTTAGACAGCAGGCTCAGACTCAGTCAATGTTTATTTGTATTGCTGTTGTAAAGCAACCTGACGTTCCTTGGCAATACACGGGGTGAAAGAACTTATATTGCTGCATACCGCAGTTGCCCTTGTGCTTAGAATTTGTTATTGAGCCAAATGCCTTCCTTGAAATGGCTGTTCCCACACAGGGCTGGGACACAGCATGGGTTTCTAGTGTTTCCAGTAGCACAGTAGATTCTTTTTATTGGGGGAAGGGTTTTGACCCACAAAACCCAGGATCTCCTGACGTCTGCAGAAGTGTTGAGCTTCTCCAGGGCTGCTGACGAAGGGGGAGAAGGGAACAATTGCCTTTGGACCTGGTGATTCAAAAGAGCCCAGGTTTCCCAGCACCACTGCTGCTGCTACTGCCTCGAGACCCAGGCCCTTTACATCCCAGGCCCTTTACATCGCCTGGAGTGTCATGCGGCATGCTCTGAAGGCTGGAGGGCAGGGCATACTGCACTAGCTGCCCTGGTCCCACCCCTTTTGGTAATGTGGAGTTGGACCCCCCCTCACCTTGCTGTTAGCCCCCCTAAGCATCTGCTATGGTTCTTGGCACCATGGCAACATGACTCCTATAGGTGATATTGTTCCATCAGTTTCCTCTCTGTCTTTGCTCTTCAATCCTCCTGAGGAAAGGGTTTCACTTGGTGCATAGCAGAAATCTTTGAATGGTTTTGGGAGAAGGAGGAACTAAACCCCACTCCACCCATCCTAATCCTACCCACACGTCTAGTCTCCATGACACTGGGAGGAAGAAGGGAGTGTGCTGTGGCACTGATGAGCCACTATCCTTAATCATATTTTTTCTACCCTCTTTTTTTAGAAACAGGGAAGCAAGTGGCCATCTGTTACAGCGCGTTATTATTTTAAATTGTGTGACATGAGAGGAGAGAAGGCTAGCACTCACCTTGCTAAGGAGGGGGGGAGAGTTGTTTTGGCCTTATCAACACACACAGGCTACGTCTACACTGGCATGATTTTCCAAAAATGCTTTTAACGGAAAACTTTTCCGTTAAAAGCATTTTCAGAAAAGCACGTCTAGATTAGCAGGATGCTTTTCCGCAAAAGCACTTTTTGCAGAAAAGCGTCCATGGCCAAACTAGACGCGGTTTTCCACAAAAAAGCCCGGATCGCAATTTTCGCGATTGGGGCTTTTTTGCGGAAAACACTACTGTGCTGTTTACACTGGCCCTTTTGTGCAAAAGTCTTTCGGAAAAAGACTTTTGCCCAAATGGGAGCAGCATAGTATTTCCGGAAAAGCACTGACGATCTTACATGAGATCGTCGGTGCTTTTCCGGAAATTCAAGTGGCCAGTGTAGACAGCTGGCAAGATTTTCCGCAAAAGCAGACGATTTTGCGGAAAAACTTGCCAGTCTAGATACAGTCATATGGTGTAGGCATTGCCACTGACTCATGTCACCTGATCACTTCTGGGAAGGATACCTATAGCCCTGCATATGTACCACTTCTTATGTATTGTCCAAACCTAAAAGAATAAATAATAGGTTAGTGTTAAGCAAAATTAGAAATAATGTTGGAGCTAAACCTCCTGTTCCAAACACCCTATAACTTGGGAAATACTGGCATTTAGTTGTGATGCTTGTGGATTCAAGAGCTGTTCTCTAGTCAGAACAAGACTATCGCTCAATTTACAGTTGAGAAATAGGAGTTAAAATGTGGAGCCTGGTGGAATCCTGATGCACAGAGCAGCTGAGAGAGATCCAGCCTGGGGGCAACTGCTTGACCACAGTCTGCCGACTGATTTTAACACACAGTTGCCATAGTCTCCCCTAGGACCTGCTTTCAGGTAGGAAGTATTGGTGTCGCATTAGTGGAGAATGCTTTAAAAAAACAGAATGCAGGACAATGTAGCACTTTAAAGACTAACAAGATGGTTTATTAGATGATGAGCTTTCGTGGGCCAGACCCACTTCCTCAGATCTGGGTCTGGCCCACGAAAGCTCATCATCTAATAAACCATCTTGTTAGTCTTTAAAGTGCTACATTGTCCTGCATTTTGCTTCAACTACCCCAGACTAACACGGCTACATTTCTATCACTATTAAAAAAACAGGAGATTGTGTTAGCCAGGAGAAGGGAAATAAATTGGTTAGATGGGTGCATGTATGGATTTTTGTTTCTATCACATCTAGGAGATTTTTAAAATGGGTGATACCATTTTGCTGAGTTAGCATTTTCAGACTCTTGCCTAAAACATCCTAAGTCATCAGATCCCAATTGTTTAGGCTTAGTGAATAGTTCTGTGAGTACATGATAATTAAATTAGCTATCAGCTGATTGCTGTAAAAACCTTGATTAACACACTACAACCCAGTAAGAATTTAAACATTCTTTAAAGGATCATTGAAATGTATCTGAAAAAAATCTCTGTTTTATTCTTCATCTTCCTTTTTAGGAAAAGATTAATCTTTTTGCAAGCAACTTAAAACAAGAACTTAGGGCTGTCAAGCAATTAAAAATTAATCAAGATTAATCACATGATCAAATGTACTATTAAATAATAAAAATGCCATTTATTTATATGTTTTTGATATTTTCCACATTTTCAAATATGTTGATTTAAATTATAACACAAAATGCAAAGTGGATCATGCTCAGTTTATATTTATATTTATTACAATTATTTGAACTATAAAAAAACAAAAAATAGTGTTTTCTAATTTCCCCATTACAAGTACGGTGTAGTGCAATAATTTTATCATGAAAGTTGAACTTGTAAAGGTAGAATGATGTTAAAAAATAACTGCATTCAAAAACAATGTACAATTTTAGAGCCTACAAATCCACTCATTCCTAGTTTTTGTTCAGCCAATTGCTCAGACAAACAAGTCTGTTTACATTTACAGGAAATAATGACTCCCTCTTCTTTTTTACAATATCGCCTGAAAGTGAGAAGAGGTGTCCACATGACACTGTTATATCCAGAGTCGCAAGATATTTATCTGCCAGATGTGCCAAAGAGTCATATGTTCCTTTATGTTTCAATGACCATTCCAGAGGACACACAGCCATGCTGATGACAGGTTCTTCTTGATAATGATCCAAAGCAGTGCGGACCAACACATGCTCATTTTCACCATCTGTGTCAGAGGTCCCCAGAAGATGGTTGATTTTCTTTTCCGGTGCTTTGGCCTCTGTGGTTTCTGCATTGGAGTGTTATTCTTTTAAGATGCCTGAAAGAATGCTCCACAAGTCCTCCCTCTAAGATTTTGGAAGGCACATCAGATTCTCGGACTATGTGTTGTGCTGTGGCTGTCTTCAGAAATTTCACATTGGAACCTTCTTTATGTTGTCAAATATGCAATGAAAGTGTTCGTAAATCAAACGTGCTGGGTCATCATCTGAGATTGTTCTAACATGACATGTATTGCAGAATGCAGGTCAAACAGAGAAGGGAGATGTACAATTCTCCCTTGAGGAGTTGAGATACAACTTTAATTAATGCCCCTGTATTCCTCAAGACAGATCAAACAGATTAAATCCAATTACGTTTACCCACTATAGCATGATTACAAATGTGAACTCAGCAGAAGTGCTCTCCCCACCATCAAGGTCTAGCAGCAATGCATCCTTGGAGGGGGTTGGCTCCAAAGTTAAAACAAGGTTCTGGCTGTTGGTGAGATTAGATCCCCCACTTGCCTGCAGAGGACTCTCCTCTTCCTCCTCATTGTTGTCTCCTCAGTGTTGCTGATGGCTTCTGGAAGAGTTACTTGGGAGGAATCCATGGACAGTTTCCCTCACCTTCAGAATTCTATATAGCATTTCATAGAAGGAATTTGAAGCACAGGTGGTGTTCTCATCCATCCTTCCAATTGAAGGAAAAGGTCCAGGTAGGGATTGTCGAATTGAGGAAGTAAATGCGTGGTTGCACAGGTGGTGTCGCAGAGAGGGCTTTGGTTTCTTTGACCACGGGATTCTGATCCGGGCACAAGGATTGTTAGGAAGAGATGGGATCCACCTAACCAAAAGAGGAAAAAGCATCTTCGCGGGCAGGCTTGCAAACCTAGTGAGGAGGACTTTAAACTAGGTTCTTTGGGGGAAATAAGTGAGGAAGTCAGACACTGGGAAGAATCACAAGGAGGAATGAGCAACAAAGGAGGACCCCTGATTCAGATGGAGAAGGTAGGGCAGTCAATTGGTTATCTAAGGTGTTTGTACACAAATGCAAGAAGCCTGTGAAACAAACAGGAAGAATTAGAAGCCCTGACCCAGTCAAAAAACTATGATTTGATTGGAATAATGGAGACTTGGTGGGATGACTCACATGACTGGAGCACTGGCAAAAATGAGGTTTACATCCATAGCTTTCAAGGATAATGAATCCAGTCAAGAGAGCAGTATGATTGCTCAGAGCTCATCACAGGGCTGATGTTGTGGTTGGTGTCTGCTATAGATCACCGGATCAGGTGGATGAGGTAGACAAGGCTTTCTTTGGAAAACTGAGAGAAGCTTCCAGATGGCAGGCCCTGGTTCTCATGGAGAACTTTAATCACCCTGACATCTGTTGGGAGACCAATACAGCAGTACACAGAGAATCCAGGAAGTTTTTGGGGAATGTTGGGGATAACTTCTTGGTACAAGTGCTGAAGGAACCAACCAGTGGTCTGCGCAGCTTGACCTGCTGCTCACAAACAGGGAGGAACTAGTAGGGGAAGAAGAGGTGGGTGACAACCTGGGAAGCAGTGATCATGATATGATAGATTTCAGGATCCTGACCAAAGGAAGAAAGGAGAGTAGAAAAAGACACACTCTGGACTTCAGAAGAGCAGACTTTGACTCCCTCAGAGAACTGATGGGAAGGATTCCCTGGGATGTTAACATGAAGGGGAAAGGAGTCCAGGAGAGCTGGCAGTATTTTAAAGAAGCCTCATTAAAGGCACAGGAAGAAACCATCCCGAGGCTCAGCAAGGAAAGCAAATATGGTAGGTGACCAGATTGGCTTAACGGGGAAATCCTTGGTGAGCTTAAACACAAAACGGAAGCTTACAAGAGGTGGAAACTTGGACAGATGACTAAGGAGGAGTATAAATATATTGCTCAAGAATGCATGGGACTTATCAGGAAGGTGAAAGTGCAACTGGAAGTGCAGCAAGCAAGGGATGTGAAGGATAACAAGAAAGGTTTCTACAGGCATGTTAGCAATAAGAAGGTGATCATAGAGGGTGTGGGACTCTTACTGGATGAGGGAGGTAACCTAGTGACAGATGATGTGGGAAAAGCTGAAGTACTCAATGATTTCTTTGCCTCTGTCTTCATGGACAAGGTCAGCTCCCAGACAGATGCACTAGGCCACACATTATGGGAAGGAGGTGGGCAGCCCTTGGTGGGGAAAGAATAAGTTAGGAACTATTCAGAAAAGCTAAACATACACAAATCCATGGGCCCGGATTTAATGCATCCGAAGGTACTGAGGGAGTTGGCAAATGTCATTGAGGAGCCTTTGGCCATTATCTTTCAAAACTTGTGGAGATTAGGAGAGATCCCGGATGATTGGAAAAAGGCAAATGTAGTGCCCATCTTTAAAAAAGGGAAGAAGGACAATCCAGGGAACTACAGATCAGTCAACCTTACCTCAGTCCCCGGAAAAATCATGGAGGGGATCCTCAAGGAATCCATTTTGAATCACTTGGAAGAGGGGAAAGTGACCAGGAATAGTCAACATGGGTTCACAAAGGGCAAGTCGTGCCTGACCAATCTGATTAGCTTCTATGATGAGGTAACTGGCTCTGTGGATATAGGAAAGTCGGTGGATGTGATATACCTTGACTTTAGCAAAGCTTTTGATATGGTCTCCCACAATATTCTTGCCAGCAAGTTAAGGGAAAATGGATTGGATAAATGGACTCTAAGATGGACAGAAAGCTGGCTAGACTGTCGGCCCCAATGGGCAGTGATCAATGGCTCGATGTCAGGATGGCGGTTGGTTTCCACCGGAGTGCCCCAAGGATCTATTCTAGAACCGGTTTTGTTCAACATCTTTATTAATGACTTGGATGAGGGGGCTGGATTGCACCCTCAGCAAGTTTGCAGATGACACTAAGCTAGGGAGAGAGGTGGATATGCTGGAGGGCAGGGGTAGGTGGATATGCTGGAGGGCAGGGGTAGGTGGATATGCTGGAGGGCAGAGTGACCTGGACAGATAAGAGGATTGGGCCAAAAGAAATCTGATGAGGATCAACAAGGAGAAGCGTAAAGTCCTGCACTTGGGATGGAAGAATCCCAAGTATTGTTACAGGCTGGGGAAGTAGAAGTTCTGCAGAAAAGGACCTGGGGGTTACAGTGGATGGCAGGCTGGATATGAGTCAACAATGTGCCCTTGTAGCCAAGAAGGCTAATGGCATATTAGGTTGCATTAAGAGGAGCATTGCCAGCAGATGCAGAGATGTCATTTTTCCCCTTTATTCAGTTCTGGTGAGGCCACATCTGGAGTATTGTGTCCAGTTCTGGCCCCCTCACTACAAAAAGGATGTGGACGCATTGAAGAGGGTCCAGCGGAGGGCGACCAAAATGATTAGGGGGCTGGAGCGCATGACCTATGAGGAGACACTGAGGGATTTGGGTTTGTTTAGTCTGTAGAAGAGAAGAGTGAGGGGGGATTTGATAGCAGCCTTCAACTTCCTAAAGGGAGGTTCCAAAGAGGATGAAGAAAGGCTGTTGACAGTAGTGACGGAAAGAGCAATGGTCTCAAGTTGCAGTGGGAGAGGTCTAGGTTGGATATTAGTTAAAAATATTTCCCTAGGAGGGTGGTGAAGCACTGGGATGGGTTACCTAGGGAGGAGGTGGACTCTCCATCCCTAGAGGTGTTTAAGTCTCGGGTTGACAAATACCTGGCTGGGTTGATTTAGTTGGGATTGGTCCTGCCTTGGGCCTCCTGAGGTCTCTTCCAGTTCTATGATTCTATGAAGTGACATGTTGGAGGCTCTGACCTGGATCGACCATTTGCTTTCTTTGTCTTCTGGTACACTTGCCTGAGCACTGTTATTTTCATGCAGCTCTGCTGGGTCCCTGCTGTATCCTTTTTCCACCATGCCCTGTGCAATTTTGGTGTAGACATCAGCATTTCATCTGCTGCTGCTTTGTTCTGCTTGCACAGATTCTTCTTCTCACACAGCAAGCAGATCCTGTGTATCTCCTGCACACTGTGCTTGAGCTCATTTGCAACCCTGGGCATTCATGGTCTGCTATGTTGCTAAGGTGTGCTGCTGGTCAAACAGGAAATCAAATTCAAAATGTCCCCGAGTTTTTCCAGTGAACCTGGGAGAGCAGCAGAGTTGAAAGTGCTGGCCAGAGCAGTGGCATTGGGGCAGTGCGGGACACCTTTCAGAACCCAAGAACATTGACTTTAACAGCATTGCATCTGCACTATCCCGAAGTTCAAAATCAGTTGAGCACTACTTCTCTCTTCAAGGAGTACAGAAATTAACTTTAAATGCCTTTAAAATTGGCAGAAGGGGCTTGGTGGTATAGATTCATTGGTTATAAAATTGACCTAACACAGCCAACTTATGTGAATTGGTTGTGTTGACTTGGCCTCAGTTCAGTGAGATTTTTGAAGAAAAAGACTTTAATTTTCCAGTACATGGTCTTAGCTCTTTTATTACTAAATAAAGGCAGAAGAGAAAATACAGCCATGAAATCATAGCTCCATGTATATTTTGTTCTAAAACATACAATTAAAGTAACAGAAGAAAGAGTAATACTTTCACTTTAAAGGTCACACTATTCAGTAGTACGTATGCTGGCTTTATTAATGTGATCAATCCCCTGTGCTAATTAGTCACAGTTTAAAGATTTACTCTTTTATTTAAACTGGCAGGGGTTTGTGCTTTTGTCAAAGAAAGTCCTGGATCTAACTCCATTGGTAATCTCTGGCCTCGTACATAGGTATACAGATAAAATAAACAGTTGTGTAATGTGTTGAATTTTGCTGAACTTACAAGAAAAACGATTGGAATACAATTAAACCAATCAAACAAATGTATCCTGGCTGAGACTGAGCCTTACTAATTTGCTGTTACATTTTATTATTAAGGATGAATAGATTTACAGATGTTTAAATTACAAGTATTTTTCCAATACATGCCTCATTTAGTCCAAGGATGTTTGCCCAAGGATAATTCTTGTTTTTTCACAGGCTAGAAAAATGTTTGAAGGTGAAATGGCAAGTTTAGAGGCTATTCAGAAAACCAACACCTTAAGAGTACCACAGCCCATTAAAGTGATTGACCTTCCAGGAGAGGGTGCAATGTTTGTCATAGAGTACCTGAAGATGAAGAACCTCAGCAAGTATGCCCGAACTTCATACTTCCTTTGTTTCTGTGATTTTGAGAGTCTGCTATACTTTGGGGCTATGTCTACACTGCCCTCTCTTTTGCAAGAAAATATGCAAATGAGGCGAAGCAGTGAATATCGCCATGCCTCATTTGCATGCTTAACGAGCCGCCATTTTTGCGCAAGGGGCTTTTGCGCTAAAAGGAGCTGTCTACCTGTCTCCTTTTCATGCAAAACCCCCCTCTTGCACAAGAGTCATTCTGCAACTTTTTTCCAGGAAGAACCACTCTTGCGCAGGAGGTGTTTTTTGTGCAAAAAGGAGCTGTGTAGATGGCTCCTTTTTGCTCAAAAGCCCGTTGCACAAAAATGGCGGCTCATTAAGTATGCAAATGAGGCACGGTGAACTAGAATGCCTTGTGTTAAAGGAGGATACTGATATAATAGGCATCACAGAAACCTGGTGGAGTGAGGACAATCAATGGGACACAATCATTCCAGGATACAATATATATCGGAAGGACAGAACAGGTCATGTGGGTAGGAGAGTAGCACTATATGTGAAAGAAAATTTAGAATAAAATGAAGTAAAAATCTTAAATGAATCAACATGTTCCATAGAATCACTATGAATAGTAATTCCCTGCTCTAATAAGAATATAACAGTAGGGATTTATTATCGACCACCTACTCAGGACAGTAATAGTGACTATGAAATGCTAAGGGAGATTAGAGAGGCTATCAAAATAAAGAACTCAATAATAGTGGGGGGTTTCAACTATCCCCGTATTGACTGGGTACATGGCACCTCAGGATGAGATGCAGAGACAAAATTTCTTGATACCTTAAATGACTGGTTCTTGGAGCAGCTGGTACAGGAACCCATAAGGGGAGAGGCAAGTCTCAATTTAGTCCTGAGTGGCGCACAGGATCTGGTCCAAGAGGTAACTATAACAGGACCGCTTGGAAATAGTGACCATAATATAATAACATTTAACATTCCTGTGGTGGGAAGAACACCTCAGCAGCCCAACACTGTGGCATTTAATTTCAAAAAGGGAACCTATGAAAAAATGAAGAGGTTAGTTAAACAGAAAATAAAAGATACAGTGACTAAAGTAAAATCCTTACATGCTTCATGAACACTTTTCAAAGACACCATAATAGAGGCCCATCTTAAATGTATACCCCAAATTAAAAAACATAGCAGAAGAACTAAAAAAGAGCCACTGTGGTTTAACAACCATGTAAAAGAAGCAGTGAGAGATAAAAAGGCATCTTTTAAAAAGTGGAAGTCAAATCCTAGTGAGGTAAATAGAAAGGAGCATAAACACTGCCAAATTAAGTGTAAAAATGTAATAAGAAAAGCCAAAAAGGAGTTTGAAGAACAGCTAGCCAAAAACTCAAAAGGTAATAACAAATTTTTTTTAAGTACATCAGAAGCAGGAAGTCTGCTAAACAACCAGTGGGGCACCTGGATGATTGAGCTACAAAAGGAGCACTTAAAGATGATAAAGTCATTGTGGAGAAACTAAATGAAATCTTTGCTTCAGTCTTCATGGCTGAGGATGTTAGGGAGATTCCCAAACCTGACCCGTCCTTTGTAGGTGACAAATCTGAGGACTCGTCACAGATTGAAGTGTCATTAGTGTAGGTTTTGGAATTAATTGATAAACTTAACAGGCTTAAGTCACTAGGACCAGATGGCATTCACCCTACAGTTCTGAAAGAACTCAAATGTGAAATTGCAGAACTATTAACTATGGTTTCTAACCTATCCTTTAAATCAGCTTCTGTACCCAAGGACTGGAAGATAGCTAATGTAACACCAATATTTAAAAAGGGCTCTAGAAGCGATCCCAGCAATTACAGATTGGTAAGTCTAACGTCAGTACCAGGCAAAGTAGTTGAAACAATAGTAAAGAATAAAATTGTCAGACACATAGAAGAGCGTAATTTGTTGGGAAGAGTCAATATGGTTTCTGTAAAGGGAAATCATGTTTTACTAATCTATTAGAGTTCTTTGAAGGGGTCAAAAAAACATGTGGACAAGGGAGATCCAGTAGATATAGTGTACTTAGATTTCCAGAAAGCCTTTGACAAGGTCTCTCACCAAAGGCTCTTAGGTAAATTAAGTTGTTATGGGATAAGAGTGAAGATCCTTTCATGGACTGAGAAGTGGTTAAAAGACAGGAAACAAAGGGTAGGAATAAATGGTAAATTTTCAGAATGGAGAGGGGTAACTAGTGGTGTTCCCCAAGGGTCAGTCCTGGGACCAATCCTATTCAACATATTCATAAATGATCTCAAGAAAGGAGTAAACAGTGAGGTGGCAAAGTTTGCAGACGATACTAAACTGCTCAACGTAGTTAAAACCAAAGCAGACTGTGAAGGACTTCAAAAAGATCTCACCAAACTAAGTTACTGGGCAACAAAATGGCAAATGAAATTTAATGTGGATAAATGTAAAATAATGCACATTGGAAAAAATAACCCGATGGGGGATAATATAGGTATAACTAATCAGGAAATAGATCTTGGAGTCATCGTGGATAGATCTCTGAAGACATCCACACAGTGTGCAGCGGCAGTCAAAAAAGCAAACAGGATGTTAGGAATCATTAAAAAAGGGATAGAGAATAAGATGGAGAATATCTTATTGCCCTTATATAAATCCATGGTATGCTCACATCTGGAATACTGCATACAGATGTGATCTCCTCATCTCAAAAAAGATATACTGGCATTAGAAAAGGTTCAGAGAAGGGTAACTAAAATGATTAGGGGTTTGGAATGGGTCCCATATGAGGAGAGATTAAAGAGACTGGGACTTTTCAGCTTGGAAAACAGGAGACTAAGGGAGGATATGATAGAGGTCTATAAAATCATGAGTGGTGTGGAGAAAGTGAATAAGGAAAAGTTATTTACTTGTTCCCATAATATAAGAAGTAGGGGCCACCAAATGAAACTGATGGGCAGCAGGTTTAAAACAAATAAAGGAAGTTCTTCTTCACATAGCACATAGTCAACCTGTGGAACTCCTTGCTTGAGGAGGTTGTGAAGGCTAGGACTATAACAAGGTTTAAAAGACAACTAGATAGATTCATGGAGGTTAAGTCCATAAATGGCTATTAGCCAGGATGGGTAAGGAATATTGTCCCTAGCCTCTGTTTGTCAGAGGGTGGAGACGGAAGGCAGGAGAGAGATCGCTTGATTATTACCTGTTCGATTCACTCCCTCTGGGGCACCTAGCATTGGCCACTGTCGGCAGACAGGGTACTGGGCTGGCTGGACCTTTGGTCTGACCCTGTATGGCCATTCTTATGTTCTTATGTTCTTATTCACCGCATCGCCTTATTTGCATATTTTCTTGAGCAAGAGAGGGCAGTGTAAACGTAGCCCTCTTGTATCAACTGGAAACTCTGAAAGAGTCTATTGACTATCATCTGCAAATGATATCAGTCTGATAAAAGTGAAATTAAAAATCAACGGTCAAGCTTCTGGGCCAAATTCTCCACTGAATTTGGCCCATTGTCTCAGCAATATGCGATCTATTCCTGATAGTTGAGCTGTTCTAACAGATAATGAACTGACAGGTAGCAACTAGCCAATGTATGTGTAGATTTCTCAGACAATGAGCTTGTCTCAGCAGTAGGCCCACAACACCTATTCCACTGCTTTCTCCTTTTCCCTATTTTTAAATTGCCTCCTGTTTTATAGAGTTTCTCCCTGTCTTCTCTGGTCTTTAATTTTCTCTTTTTAAAGAAATGATGCTTAAAGACATATTTTAAATGCTCAGGTACAGATGTAAGGTTTTGTTTCTCTGATCTTACAGATATTCTGCAAAGCTTGGAGAGCAGGTAGCAGATCTTCACCTTTACAACCAGAAATGTGGAGGGAAATTAAAGAAGGAGGAAAACAGTGTTGGTAGAGTATAGATTTACTGTAATAGTATAACACATTTAGATGTATTTAATTCATGTAGCATTATAATCTAATGAATGGAGAAAGCCAGTTTAAAGGGCCACTGTCTGTTAAAATCTACTATATTAGAAGATTTACCCAGTGTTGCTTGGGTCCTTAATTCAAATACGTTTTGTTTTTCTTAATTTAAATAATTGTTTTGGGGCGTGGGATGAGGGGTTCAGTATGTAGGCTCCCCTGGGAGAGAGAACAACCCCAGCCCTGTGTCATCACAGCAGCTTGGGGCCAGGTGAGAAGCGCCTGGCCAGGCTGCTGCAGCAGGTACAGCCGGGGAGGCGAGCATGTCTCTCAGCTGGGGGACGGACAGACAAAACACAAACTCTCTAAAATGATAGTTGTCCCTTTCTCAACTCCTGCCCCTGCTGGCCCAATAGGACTGTAGATGTCCTGGTCCCCATCTTTGGCCTCTTGCTGCCCTCTTCTCTCCCCCATGATTATTCTCCAGTATAACTGCCCTCTTATCAGACTTCTCCCTTTCCATTTTATGGGAAACAGTAGAATTCCAGGCATATTCCATTGTGCTAGCACAACCAAACCTGACCTTGCTTTAAGTTATGATAAGAAGTTGCATACCAAGTTTGATCAGCTGATCAGCTGTTTGTCGGCTCAGCGTGGCAGCCATGTAAATTTAAATGAAGCGCCGATTATTTAAATCGCCGCTTCATTTTACTATGTCTGGTAGCCTAATCTACATGCCTCTGGCGACAGAGACATGTAGTCTAGATGTACCCACAGAGACAGACAGGCAGGCACACATTTTTTAAATATATAGGAATATATTTAAGAGTTTGTTTAAGTACTCATCCTAAACCACCAAATTCGGTATATAGCTTCCTCTTATTGTAAAGCAAGGGAAGGGTTTTGTGGTGCCAAGAAAATGGCACCTGCTTGGGGATTCTTTCTCCCTTCTGTATGAAACAGAAATGTCTCTGCTTTCCTAAATAATAATAATAAAAAAAAAACCCTGCTGATAATAAGAGATTTTCGTTTGTGATTAAAAAACAAAAACAAAATAAAAAGCTGAGATCTACCTTTCAGTATTACCTTAAGCCTTTCATCACCATACACATAAATTATAATCCCCCAAATGTTTTTTAACCATGTAAACACATATAACTGTTAAAAGGTCTACAGATCAGATTGTTAACTAGTTATAACATCTATTCTTCTTTGAGTGGTTGCTCCTGTCCATTCGAGTGAGGTGTGTGCATGCCACATGCAGTTCTGCAGAACATTTTTCCCCTACCAGTACCTATAGCGCCAGCAGGTCACCCCCTGGAGTGCACCGCTATAGCAGCACATAAGTACCCCTGCTGGCGCTCCTCCTCCTCAGTTCCTTCTTACCGCCAGTGACGGTTTGTTGGAGCGTGTCAGTTATATTAGTTAGCTTAAGGTTCCCCGCTTATCTCTTTTGTGTAAATAGTTTCTCTGTAATTAGTTAGGTACTTAGTGTTAGACTTTCCTTTGTTCCTCCCCCCCCCCCAGGGGGTAGGGAATGCCTGGACCGAAGGGGTTTAAGCCTTGTGCATCCTGTGCAAAGTTTATGCCCAGAGGCGACCCCCATGACAACTGCTTGAAGTGTCTGGGGGAGGGTCACTTGACAGACGCATGTAGAATCTGTCGGGTGTTCAAGCCGCGAACAAAAAAAGACAGGGACTCGCGCCTGAAATTGTTATTGATGGAGGAGGCTCTGCAACCGGCACTGGTTCCTCAAACCGTGTTAACCAGTGCACCACAGGCAGCGTGTGCCGTGCCGGCATGTGTTGGGGCATCGGTGTCTAAGCCACCAGTACCGGTCGCCTAGCCGGAAGCCTGGTGCTGGCAAGCACCCTTGCCAGTGGAGAGCCGAGCGGTCCGATGCTCCTCCCTCGGGGACCCAGAAGGACGGTTTTGGCTGCAGTCCAGGTGTGCTGTCACTGCACCGGCCATCAACGCCTGAGACCTTCAGGGCGGCCCATGAGTTGATCCACCTCATGGCCTCCCTGCACTCGGCGCTGGGGCTAGTAGGATCGCGGCTGCCAACACCGGGGGCCATGATGGCACTGGTTGCCCCCTGCAGGGTGAGCCTTGGTCAGCGGCGGTGCCATCAACTGCTCCCCAGCCACTCATGGTGTTGCCGCACCTGTCAACCCCGTTACCGGCACCGGGGACAGAAGCGCAGTGGGCGCCAGGAAAGGCACCGCTTCCAGGACCTATTATGTCCATGTCGTGTGCCCCGCAGCCAGCCCAGTACCAGTGGGCACCACTTCCTGTGGCTACACTGCCCCAGCAACCTCTTGTGTGCCGTCCGATGCCGCGCCAAGTAGGTGCACCACCCCCACCTCCGGCGCTCGCTACTTTAACTGCAGCACTGGCACCACTGCAGGCGCCGGTATCCACCGCCTTCATCACCGGTGCGGGCATCTGCCTCTGCAGTAGTGCCGGCGCCTGACTCGGCACCGGCACTGACATCTGGCTCGGCGCCCGCTTCAACACCATCACAAGCACCTGCCTCGGCACTGGTGCAAGCACCCACCTTGACTCCGCCTGGAGCACTCACCGTGGCACTAGCCTTCGTCACGGCACCGGCTAGTGTGCCGGCACCAGCACTGACAGCTGTTCCCTCTGGCACAAGTGATCTGGTGCCGGCGCCGGAGACAAGGGAGTATCATCAGCCAGCATCAGCTGATGCGGGCACTTAATCAGCACTGGCTCAATTGCAGCTTCCTGCACCAGTCCATGCTGGTAAGCCTCAGTCGATGGCTATGCTTAAACCCCCTTCGTTTCGGGGGTGGCCTGGCTCGGCACCACCTGAGACTGTCTCCGAATACTCATCGGAGTCAGATGTGGAGTCGCTCCAGATCTTCAGGCACTGTTCCCGTTCCCAACGCCACACGGGCCAGTATGGTTTTCAGACCTGGCCCCCTCAGCCGCAACCCCCTTTTTGGACACCCTGGGCTTACCACCAGTGGCAGGGACCGGTGCCCCCCCCCTCCCGCCGGCACACCTCCGCTTCAGCATCACTTCCCAGGCCTCCATCACCTCCAAGCCCTGATGCTTCCCATATGGAGTTCGCAGACCACCTGCCTCTGGAAGTTATGCCACCTCAGCCGAGTCCCCAGCTTCCTCAAGTGCCTATTTCGCCGGAGGTGCTCCCGCCTTTAGAGCCCCTGAGAGAGTCTTCCTCAACCTCCTCCCCAGATGAGGCTCCAGCTGACCCTGCGCCCTCCATGCCGGCGATGGACTCCAGGTCCCATCAGGACCTTTTACGTCACCTCACCTCCAACCTGGGTGTACTGGTGGAACCAGTGCCAGAGGAGTCAGATCCCATGGTAGACATCCTATCAGGGGGTGCTCCTGCCAAGCTGGCTTTGCCGCTAAACAAGACGGTAGCCAAAATTACTACCATGCTTTGGCAGACCCCCGCCTCACTGACCCCTACCCTTAAAGGGGTTGAGAGGCGTTATTTTGTCCTGCAATCTGGACATGAGCACTTGTACTCTCACCCCGTCCCGGGATCCCTTGTAGTCCAGGCCGTGGCACAGAAAGAAAAGCTGCCGCAGCCCGGGTCAACCCCTAAGGCCAGGGAGCCTAAGTGCCTGGACTTATTGGGGCAAAAAGTTTATGCTACGGGGGGAGTACAGCTTCACATTGCTAATCAGCAGGCAATGCTAAGCCGGTATGCCTATGATATGCTATAATATGCGGTATGCTGTCGACAGATTTAGGGATAAGCTCCTGCCTGAGGCACGGCAAGAGTTGGCTACCGTGACCATGGAAGGCAGGGCAATCGCACGTACAGCCCTGCAGGCCTCTTTAGATGCCATAGATTCTGCTGCCAGGACTATGGCATAGGGCGTGGTTATGCGCCGCAGCGCCTGGCTGCAGGTATCTGGCATACCACCAGATGTGCAATCTACCATCCAGGACCTCCCATTCGAGGGAAAGGCCCTCTTCTCAGAGCAGACTCTAGACTGCACACGTTGAAGGATACTAGGTCGACACTTCGGTCATTGGGAATACATACGCCAGCTCCTCAAAGGTGGCAACTTCCCTATAGACAGCCGGGTAGACCACAGTTCCAGCAGAGCTGTGGAAATTACTGGAGGCGCCAGCCTCGTGCTCCCAGCAGGGGCGACAGGGGCTTCAGCCTCTAACCGCAGGCGCTGTCGCCCTCACCCGGATAATGCAAGGGGAGCTGGTCATCCCCCTTCTCACCCCAGTTTTGACAGCAACAGCGAGGATCGTATGCCAATCCCCTTTTTCTCCCCCCTGTTTGGGGACGGGCTATCCCACTTTGCGCAAGCATGGGCCAAGGTTACCTTGGATAGGTGGGTCCTTGATCCTGAGAGGATGGGGTATTCTATCCCTTTTCAGGGTTCCCCTCCTTCTTTCTCTCTCTCCCCATCCCTTTTCAGGGACCCATCCCACAAGACTGTCCTGCACCAGGAGGTTCTCGCACTCCTCGAAAAGGGTGCAGTAGAACGGGTCCCCTTCCATTTGGAGGGCAAGGGGTTTTATTCCTGTTATTTTGTTATCCCAAAACCGAAAGGGGGACTTCGCCCTATTCTGGACCTCCAAAACCTCAACAAGGAGGCAATAAAGACAAAGTTCAGAATGCTAACCCTAGCCTCCATCATTCTGCTACTGGAACAGGGTGATTGGTACTCAGTCCTCGACCTCAAGGACGCTTATTTTCATATAGCGATAAGGCCAAGTCACAGGAGGTTTCTATGATTTATTGTGCCCCCCAACCATTTCCAATTTACTGTTCTTCCATTTGGGCTCTCTATAGCCCCCAGAGTGTTCACGAAATGTATGGCGGTGGTAGCCGCATTTCTCAGGACCCAGGGCATCCAGGTTTTTCCCTACCTGGACGACTGGTTGGTTCAGGGGCGCTCTCAGGCACAGGTGGCAGCTCACATAGACTTTATACAGTCCCTCTTCAGGAGACTGGGGCTTTTACTGAACGACGAGAAAGTCGATGTTGACCCCTTGTCAGGAAATAGAGTTTGTCAGGGCTCTCCTTGACGCCAGAGAGGTGTGAGCCTTCCTTCTCAGGATAAGGTTCGATACCATACTAGCTATGGTAAATGATCTGAAGCGTTCTCCCCTTGTTTCAGCCCTCACCTATATGAGGTTGCTGGGCCACATGACGGCGTGTACCTACGTCACTCGCCACGCCAGGCTAAGACTTCGGACCCTCCAGGCATGGCTGGTGACTGTTTTCAACCAGACTTCAGCTCACTGGGATGTACTACTCACTGTACCTCCACGAATAATAGCTTCCCTTCAATGGTGGACTCGGAGGGAGGTGGTATGCGAGGGGGTACCGTTTCAGATCGAGCTGCCCTCAGTCACGTTGGTGACAGATGCCTCTGACGTCGGCTGCGGAGCTCACCTACATCGCCGCAGAACTCAGGGAGTGTGGACACCTCTTGAGAGAACCCTACACATCAATGTAAGAGAGTTACGGGCAGTCAGGAGAGCATGTGAGGTATTCTTGCTCATGATCTCGCAGTGCTCGAGTCTGGTGCGCCTTGACAACATGGCAGCCGTGTTTTATGTAAACAAACAGGGGGGGAGCACTATCGTCCCCTCTGTGCAGGGAGGTGACACTTCTGTGGGACCTCTGCATAAAGCACAACATCTACATTCAGGCCGAGTACCTGCCAGGGTGCAAGAACTTGCTAGCAGATGCACTGAGCAGGTCCTTTGGAGCCCACGAGTGGTCTTTAAAGGGGAAGATCGTGGGTCGCATTTTCCACAAGAGGGGTTATCCTGGGGTGGATGTTTGCCATGGCAGGGAACAAGAAATGCCCCTGCTATTACTTGTTTTTGGGGCTGGGCACGCACTCCAAGGGAGATGCACTAACAAAGAAATGACCTCAGGAACTCCTCTATGTGTTTCCACCATTCCCATTGATCCCCAAGGTGTTGGCCAGAGTCAAAGCTTTCACAACTTGGGTAATCCTGATAACCCCCAGCTGGCCCAGGCAATTTTGGTTCCCGATACTGTTGGAAATGTTGTGTGCGAAGCCACAGCCTCTGCCCATGGTCCCGGACCTCTCACCCAACCCTGTTGGGGGGACTCTTAGTCCATCCGAATCTCAAGTCACTCCACCTCATGGCGTGGCTTATCAGTGGTTAACACGTGATGAGCGGGCTTGCTCGCATGCAGTTCAGATGGTTCTGTTAGGTAGCAGAAAGCCCTCCACTAGAAAGTCGTATGCGGCTAAGTGGAAACGCTTCGCTGTATGGGCATCACAGAAAGAGCTGGACCCATGCCAAGCTCCGGTTCCGCTGGTACTCGACTACCTGCTTGGATTACGGCAGACGGGCCTATCCGCCTCATCTATTAAAGTACACTTGGCTTTCCTTTCTGCCTTCCACCCTGGTTGGGGGGGGTCTAGTTCCCTATTTACTGATCCAATAGTCAAGAGATTCGTGAAGGGCCTAGACAAAGTGTGCCCTCATGTGAAGCCACCCGTTCCCCAGTGGGACCTCAATCTAGTGCTCACAAAATTGATGTCACCCCCATCTGAGCCCTTAGTGACCCGCTCCTTAAGGCACTTGTCCCTGAAGGTAGCTTTTTTAGTGGCCATAACTTCAGCATGCCGGGTCTCCGAGCTTCGTGCCTTGACTATAGAGCCGCCTTACTTGGTGTTTTCGGTGGATAATGTTAGACTCCGCCCACACCCAGCTTTCCTTCCCAAGGTGGTTTCACCTTTCCATATGTCGCAGGAAATTTTCTTACCCGTTTTCTTTCCGAAACCGCACTACTCCCCTAAGAAACAGGTGTTGCATTCTTTAGATGCCAAGCATGCCTTGGCTTTTTACATGGATAGAACAAAACTTTTCCGTAATTCAACGCATTCTGTCTGCATACGCAGACAGAATGAAGGGCCTTCCTATTTCGACCCAAAGGTTATCCACCTGGGTTGCCTCATGTATCACAGGGTGTTATAAGCTGGCCCACAGGGGGCCACCCCAGGTTAGGGCGCACTTCACTAGGGCTCATGCATCCTCCACAGCTTTTGGGGCGCATGTCCCCATTGTAGAAATCTGTAGAGCAGCCACGTGGTCATCTGTCCACATGTTTACGGCACACTACGCACTTTCCCAGCAGGCCAGAAATGATGCTGCGTTCGGTGCCGCTGTTCTCAGTTCTGTACTGTAAAAATTTAAGTCACAGAGGGTTTTTTCTGTTATGTTCTCTCCCATCTCTGTTAATACATTGTATGGTGGTTGATTTAATCTCTCTTTGTGGTTTTAGAGGCTTACTCCGACCCCACCACCGTTGGGTTTTTTTCTGCTTGTGAGTCACCTCACTCGAATGGACAGGAGCAACCACTCGAAGAAGAAGAGAATGGTTACTTACCTGTAACTGCTGTTCTTTGGGATGTGTTGATCCTGTCCATTTGATTCCCCCCCCTACCTCCCCTTCGTCGGAGTGTCCGGCAAGAAGGAACTGAGGAGGGGGAGCGCCGGCAGGGGTACTTATGTGCTGCTATAGTGGCGCCACTCCAGGGGGCAACCTGCCGCCACTATGGGTACTGCTAGGGGAAAAACACTCCGCAGAACTGTGCATGTGGCGCGCACAAACCTCACTCGAATGGACAGGAGCAACACATCTCGAAGAACAACAGTTACAGGTAAGTAACCGTTCTCATACCATTTAATAAAAAGATACAGAAATTCAATGTACTGTACTACACTAGAGATTTTAAAACTCACACGCTGTAAAAAAGACATTCCTTTATTATTTTAATAAAAAATCTTATATCATTAATTTTATAAACAGAGGAGTTACTCAGTAGAACTAACTGCTGTTCTTGAAGGCAAAGTTAATTCAGCAGCATTCGGATCCAGTTTCCTCTTAAAAATCAATGGGTCAGTGACTTTGTCTACAGCTTGATTCAATTCCCACTGAACTAGACATGAAGCAAAGCAAGATCATGTGCTATTTCAGGGTTGGTAGTGTTCAAACTGAATACTCAAATTTCACACCTAGTTGTATATCCAAGGTTCCCACTGATTTCTAGGGAGGACAGAACGTGGCCCATAGTGGTATGCCTACTATAGAGTAATATTTGAGAGTGATGTGGTAGATGGCTGATGTGCCGAATTATTTACAGTATGAGAAAACACAGCTAAGTCTTGTTTTAACCACTTAACTCTGCTGCCTCCTAAACTAGGGGACTGAAAATCAGGAGACCTGGGGCTTGTTCCTAATTCTGCCACTGATGTGTTCTGTGGCCTCAGCTAAATACTGAACCTAACTGTACCTCAGTTTTCCTATCTGAAAAATAACCCAGGTTCATTACTCATAGTTTTAAATAGGTCTATGATCCTCCAAAGAAAAGAACTACATATGCATGCACGGAATTACTATTAATGTTTTAAAGTATTTTGTTGCCTATTGTCTAACAAGTCAGAAAAATTTAATTACCTCCCTTCCACAAAATTTCTGCCTAGTCGTATCAGCACTGAATCCATAAACCTGCTACTCTTGCAATGTTCAGGATTGGGGGTAGAGAAGCCTCTTGTCCTCTGGACATGATCGGTGTTTTTGTTTGTTTGGTAAAGGTGCAGGACGTTCTGAACCTCAGTATGTGGATAAGTTTGGATTTCATACAGTCACATGTTGTGGCTATATACAGCAGGTAAGTTCCAGATCTAGGAAAGTTATTACATGTTAAAATAAAATACGAATTCTATATCCAGTGGCTTATTTTATTGTCAGTAGGACCGGATTTGTTCTCCTTATTTCATTTTCATCTTAACAGTTTTTAAAGTATAAACAAAATATAATTTTTCTCTCCAAGTTGAAAAATATGTTTTTTTCTGTCTAGACCTTTTACTTTCTTGTTCTTAATTAAAAATGTAAGAGTTCCGATAGATAAAAACCTTATTAATTGCATAACCCCGTCTTTCACTAAGCATTGTCCATTCTGTGCAATGAACAGAATAAAGTGGGAGTCCTGTGGAAAAAATTGTATAGGATCATGTAAAAATGATAATTCATGTGCATGAGGAAGCAGAATTAAAGTTACATGGGCTTCCTTAGATTTAGCATTTCCCAACTTGTTTCAGCTTTCTAATATTTTTGAATGTTTAATTTTCCAACTTACAAAAACAAACACACATTTTTAGTTTGTATAAGCACCTGAAAACTGGAATAATTAAACCATTACTGAGATGGAGCCGCTTCTGAGGTGGAATCAAAGGGCACTCAGCAAGCTTACACAGCAAATTGGATAGGAAGTGAGGACTATTCAGTGATTCTCCAACATTCAGACCTTTTGCGAAGAAAGGGATCCCTCATAAATCACTTCTATCCTCTTCCAAACCCACAATGTAGTTCTCAAAAGTGAAATTTCCTCCCTCTGAAAAAGGGTCAGTGGCGGCAAAGTCTGTGCAACACTTCAATTCCACTTAAAACCCTCAGAGCAGGTTTTATATGGTGCATAGGCTTTTTGCTGGCTGTCTGCAAATTGAATTTCAACCAATACATTTAACTGTGAGACCATTGAGAAGGATTTTGCAAACTATTAGTTGTCCCTGAGCCATGATTTGAGAACCACTATATAATTGTAATATCAGAGGGAATTTTGGCTAATGAGAGCTAACATAACTTGGATGAAGGTTTAAAAGATTTTTAAAAGTGTGCAAGTGGCCAGAGTTTTAGGTTTATCTCTCATATAAAAGATACCCTCTCCATAATGTGGACTCAGGAGGAAGAGTAGCTGTCAATGAATGATCAATACAACATCTAATAGTATCCTACATTTCTTTTTCTGGACACTCATGTCAGAATGACAAGGCCTTCACCCTGTTTAGTTTACAAGCACACAAGTATCAAGGCAACAGGACATAGTATCAATAATATGCACTTTAATTTTACAGAGATATCAGCTGAAAATGGCTAAGTATACTTTACAGTGCAGTTTCCTCTTCAAGTGATCATGATTACTTGAATCTTGAGTTCTTATTTTCCAGGTGAATGAATGGCAAAGTGATTGGCCTACTTTTTTTGTACGTCACCGACTCCAAGCTCAAATGGATTTGATTGAGAGAGATTATGGAGACCGAGAAGCAAGAGACTTGTGGTCACAGCTTAAGGTAAGTAAATAAAAGAAGTGTCTCATACAGATAAATTATGTAGTGTACTTAAAATATACAAGATGAATACTCTGTAGATTTTTAAACATTTTCATGATAAACTTTATATGGCTTTTAGTAAACAGGGCTAATTTCACTAACGATCCAGATGGCAAAGTGAAGTAAAAAAGGTCTGTTACTGCACTATTCTTTTAAAATGGGTAATGAAAGTAGTATTACACCCTGGCTTCAAAATGTACATCTAGAGCCCCACATAATATTGACTAGATTCTGTTACTGCTAAAAAGCCAGAGCTTCTGTGAAAAAACGTAAGTTACTGTTAATAAATTAAATATTTATAGATCGGCTACACTTTTATTCCTGGTACTTACTGTAGGATTAGATTGTTAGCCAGTGGCTAGGTAGAGTCAGGACAAGGTCAGGATTCTTATGTTGTAGTCCTACCCCTGCCACTGTCACGCCATGATTTTGTCAACATACTTAAGGGAGGGGTTACTTTCCTCATCCAGCCAATGAGTATTATTGAGTTTAATTAATGAGTATTTGTAAAGTACTTTCTGATGAAAGGTATAACAGAAGTGCAAGGCAACTGGTGCCAGTGGGGAGGGGGACGGAAGGTGCAGGGAGAGCCAAGCAGAGGGACAGGGGCAGCAAATGGGAGCACTCCATTTAGCAATTAAAAAACTGGCAGAGGCATAGAGGCTTTCTAGAAAGCGCTTCCACCTCCTGGCTCAGGGAATGCAGCATTTGCCGCCACCTGTGCCCCCGTGGCAGCTGCCTTCATGGCTCCTGCAGCTCAAGCCTGGGGCTCCAGCCTGGGGCTCCGTGTGGGATGTACCAGGAGGCAGCCCCTGCTTAGGCTCCCCACTTGGGTTCTCCTTCTTCCAGCTCTGAGCGCAGTGCCTCACTGTGGTGGTGTGGCCACTGCAGTGGGCCATGATCATGGGCCCACTGGGCTCTGCCAAGCACACCGTCTCCTGCATCATTAAACACTTCACACTGAACCACCTGCCCAGCAGGGACCTGCTCCTAGGCAACATGCAGAGCGGGGATAGAAGGGGTAGCTGAAATGGCCCTTGTGGGATGGTTGAGCTGGCACAGGGAGGATCCAAAGTGTAGTAAGATCCTGCCCGCCCCTTAGGCCTGGCTGTGGCATTGCTCCTGCTCCAGTCAGCACAGAAGGGCTCGAAGATATCCTGTGTGCGATAGCTGTGCTCCTGTATGATATAGGTGTCGCCACAGCTGTTTGGGTAAAGGGGGTTCCTGCTCCACCTTGGACTTGAACTTGAACCCTTTCAGGGACCCGATGGGCCCTTGCCCCTCTGAGATGGGTAAATCAAACTGTCTTGTGGTTTTTGGACAGTGTCCTTCCATGGCCCTTCTCATTTATCACATAACATTCCCATGGCAAGTACAGTCACATTTCACAGGGGAAAGTAACGGTATTATTATTAATAGCTGCCCTTCAGTTCCCTTTCATAGCTGGCATCATGTAATCAGCTAGTTAGCCACAGGACACTCTCCTGCCTTTCCTGTGGTCCATGGATACAGTTGATTGGCAAGTGGTTGAATCATTTGATTGCAGTTTGGTAGGTGGGGTAAAGTACAGTCCTAACATGAATATTGGTAGCTATAAAGTAGAAGGCTTTTATCAGGAACCAGTAGAAAAGGGGTTAATATTAATTGTGCAGGCCCATAAGCAGGGTGTGTGCATGCATGTGTGCAAAGGGTGAGGTTGCAGACTCCTGCAGAACCCCCAGCATGACTGTGAACCATTAATAACTGCTCTCTGAGAATGGTTATCCAGCCAGTTATGCATCCACCTTATAGTAGCCCCATCTAGGTTGTTATTCCCTAGTTTATTGCTAAGAAGATCATGTGAGACTATCAAATGCTTTACCAAAGTCTAGATATACCACGTCCACCGCTTCTCCCTTATCCACAAGACTTGTTATTCTATCATAGAAAGCTATCAATTGGTTTGACATGATTTGTTCTTTACAAATCCATGCTAGCTATTACCTATCACCTTATTTTCTTCCTGATGTTTACAGATGAATTCCTTAATTACTTGCTCCATTATCTTCCCTGGCACAGAAGTTAAACTGACTGGTCTGTAGTTCCCTGGGTTGTTCTTATTTCCCTTTTTATTGATGGGCACGAGATTTGCCTTTTTCTAGTCTTCTGGAATTTCTCCCTACTTCTATGACTTTTCAAAGATGATAGAGGAGGTATCTGAGCCTTTAGCTATCAGCTCCTTGAGTATTTTAGGATGCATTTCATCTGGACCTGGTGACTTGAAGACAAGTAATTTTTCTAAGTAATTTTTAACTTGTGCTTTTTTTATTTTAACTTCTAAACCTACCCTATTTCCTTTATCTTCCTCTTCTTTCTATGACATTTGTAGAATGTCTTCTTTATGTCTCTAGCTAGACTGAGCTTGTTTTGTGCTTTTGCTCTTCTAATCTTGCCCCGCATACTAGTGATGTTTGCTTATATTCATCCTTTGTAATTTGACCAAGTTTCCACTTTTTATACGACTCCTTTTTGATTTTTAGATCATGCAAGATCTCCCGGTTAAGCCAAGGTGGTCTCTTTCCATACTTTCTATCTTTCCTATGCAGTGGAATGGTTTGCTTTTGGGCCCTTAATAACGTTTATAGATCTTTGTTCCATAATGGCACTTCAGACTCAGGATTTCGGTGTTGTAAATTGTTTACTTCTTAGAACTTTTCCAACAAAAGGAAGTGGACCTTTATTATTGGGACAACCTGTATTGCCCATAACTGTAAGCAATAGTGAATGTGGGTACCAGTGAACAATCTGTTAAACTCTTCCTGAAGCAAATCAGAATGATTTTTGTTAACACTTTTGACCTGCTTCTGCATTCATTGACTGTCAAAGAGCATGATAATGACTAAAAAGAGTCATTTTTATTCATTCTGTCATTTGTATTCTGTTGCCTTTTAGTTTTTTTTCTTGATCAAATTATAGTTTTTGCTTATTTCCCACTGCATTTTCCAGCTGAAGGTTCCTGAGATGTTCTGCGGTGTGGAGATTGTTCCTGCTCTTCTTCATGGGGATTTGTGGGCAGGAAACGTCGCAGAGGATGAATTTGGCCCAATTGTCTTTGATCCTGCTTCTTTCTACGGCCATTCTGAATTTGAATTGGCGATTTCTGGGATGTTTGGTGGCTTTAACAGTTCTTTTTTCTCTGCCTACCACAGTAAAATCCCCAAAGCTCCAGGTTTTGAGAAACGAAACAAGTTGTATCAGCTCTTTAATTACATAAACCACTGGAACCATTTTGGGACAGAGTACAGGGGATCTACTTTAACTGTAATGAGAAGGTTATTAAAATGAATGTTTAGAGGTTGTTCCTCAAAACAATCTATCACAGATTCTTGCTAATTCATATTGCCTACTTGTTGATAGCAACACAAGCTAGGAAGAGTGAAACATGGATAAGAAACCCACATGGTAGGCAGCTGTAAAAGGCAAGGGGGCTTTTGTACACATTCGAGCCCATTAAATGCTTGCAGTGGTTGTGTAGTTTTTGCATCATATACTAGTTTACTAGCACATATCCACACTGGTGAGTTAGGAGATTGTGTAAAATCTTATCTAGTTGGTATAAACAATGAGAAGTCCTGTGGCACCTTACAGACTAACAGATTTATTGGAGCGTACGCTTTTGTAGGCAAAGATTCACATTCATCACTTTCATCCAGTTGGTGAAATCTCTACATTGAAAAACAGTCCAGTTGATAGTCTAATCTCATTCTCAATTGGATAACCCACTTTTTCCCCCTCTCTTTGATACAGCCTGTCTCCGACTTACGAACCAGTTACAGACCAAGCAATTGGTCGTAACTCGGTTTGTTGGTAAGTTGGACCCCATTGAGTTACACGCGACCGTGTTGTTTGTAAGCGCAGATCGCGTTCGTAACTCAGGGTCCACCATTTACGACATTTTTGGTTGTAACTGCGAACGGTCATAAGTCAACTGTTCGCAATTTGGGGACCGGCTGTATTTGCCCTTCCTGCCCCTGCTGCTATACGACTCTTATTATGGGGTGGTGGTATTGGAAGTAATCCTTTTCCCTTGACTTTTCTTCTGCTGCTCAATTATCCTCTGTTCCACTCTATCCATCTCCTAAGGATCAACTTCAACATCTGTTGAAGTCAGGGGGAAACTGTTAGCCTTGAGGGTACTGAACTGTATCCTAATACATTTACATAGTGCAGGCTATGAGTTAGTACTTCTTACACTTACTTTAAGTTAAAAATGTTTGTTCTAAATATTTATGATTCTCCTTTTCACAGGAAAAAGGCAGTCCAATGGATAACCCTTAAAAGATAACCCTCTAGACCTACTGGCGAATGAAATACATGGTTAAAAAATGGATTGTCATTACATAACATGCAGATAAAATATTTTTAAACTGCCTTTTATAAACATACCAAAAACGTCCCTTCAATGTAGCAGGCAGGCTTAGCTATGTGAGAAGAAGAAATCAGCAAGGCCAGAAACTATGCTGCTGGGTACTCTATGCATACAAGCTTTATAGAATTAATTATAATATATAATAGGGGAAACTAGCCTATTCCATCATCACTGATTTAGTAAAATTTCACACTGTCAAAACAATGAGGTCCAAAGTTTAATAGTTTTATACCTGTTTTCAGAGTCCCTGTGGAGCACCACTAACAAGCTGGATGTTTTTTCAGATTTATAAGCACCAGCGTTGTTTATTAAGTCCCCTCTAACAGTTCACCAGTATATCCTTGTGCAGTAACATTCATGTGAATAGAAACTTCCCCCTTAGCCTGCTTTCTAGGGAGGGAGGAGGAAACACCTCTTGATTCTGAATTCTGTCTGTCTCCTCCCAGTGCAGCACTTCCTCTTCAGCTATTCCCTACTGGGTATGGGTTGTCTTCAGTAGCTCAGCAGCCTCCTGCCTAATTAACCACCATCATCTCCTGAATAAATCCCCTCCAGGGGGAATAACTAGTACCATAGTTACCAGAGTGCTTGGTCAGCCCTGGGCTCTTAGCACTCTTTCAAGTTTTAAAAAGAAGTGCTTGTTCTCTGTATTAAAAACAACAACAAAACAGATGTAATATTAGCTGCCCAGAATTTTGAGCAACTATACAACAAACCTAATTACTCTTTTCATGCAAGAAAATAAGTGATAAGTAAAGAAAGCAGTTATAATTACAATTCCACAAACATATCCATTAATAAGAATGTGTATGGGAAGAATCATGCTTGTAATTCTATGTGTTCAGAGCTTGACCAATTAGTAATACAGGCAGTCTCCGGGTTATGTACAAGATAGGGACTGTAGGTGTGTTCTTAAGTTGAATTTGTAGGTAAGTCGGAACTGGCGTCCAGATTCAGCTGCTGCTGAAACTGACCAGCGGCTGAGAGAAGATTGAGGGGGGACATGATAACTGTTTTCAGGTATCAAAAAGGGTGTCATAAGGAGGAGGGAGAAAACTTGTTCATCTTGGCCTCTGGGGATAGAACAAGAAGCAATGGGCTTAAACTGCAGCAAGGGAGGTTTAGGTTGGACATTAGGAAAAAGTTCCTAACTGTCAGGGTAGTCAAACACTGGAATAAATTGCCCAGGGAGGTTGTGGAATCTCCATCTGTGGAGATATTTAAGAGTAGGTAAATAAATGTCTATCAGGGATGGTCTAGACAGTATTTGGTCCCGCCATGAAGGCAGGGGACTGGACTCGATGACCTCTCGAGGTCCCTTCCAGTCCTAGTATTCTATGATTCTATGAATGCTTAGTTTATACTGCCCTAGTCAATATACAGGCAGTCCCCGAGTTACGTGGATCCGACTTACGTCGGATCGCTACATATGAATGGGGCTTTTCTCGCCCCAGAGGATGTGGGCAGCGGGACCGCCCAGACGCACCGCAGTCCCGCCGCCCGCATCCTCCGCGGCTTTGCTCCGTGTCTCCCTGGTCTACTGGGAGGGCCCCCCCCCAGCAGACCAGGGAGACGCAGAGCAGCTTTTCTCGCCCCGTTTGTAAGTACGAATCTGACGTAAGTCGGATCCGCGTAACCCGGGGACTGCCTGTACAGTTAAAATAATCAAATATGCTTTGCCACTTTTCTTTTAGTGTTAGCACTGCTATTATGAATCACAATTGGAAAAAAACACCATCCTTCCAGAGAAGTAAATCACAGCAGCTATTGAAACAATGTAGATTTGTTTTTATATGTTTTTCAATAAATCACATTTGAAAGCTCTCAGACTTTGGAGAGGAACCAAGTGGATTTGCTTTCAGTGCTTAAAAATATAATGGCTGAATCAGAAGTCAGATTAAAAACCATATTGCTTCTGAATTAAATTAAAATGACACCCAAATTATCACAAATAATTCAAGTTATGCTTGATTCTGTGATTGAAGAGGAAAGGTGGAATAATCTTGTTTGTGTAAAGTTGACAGTATAGTTATAAGATGGAGCATTCAGGTTTGAGATAATTAAGTCCTTGAGAACTAATATGCGTTACCTAAAATGTGAACTAAAATACATTATAACTTTATAAGATATAAAGTTAAGATATGTGCACAAATAAAATTCAGAAACTTGTACTGCAATAAAAAGATCTTGATGTCTATATCTTGTGATGACAGTTTTTCTCTGTTTATGAAATTTAAACTAATAATGGTATTGTTATTTGGGAGGAGGTGGAATTTTTGATTAGTGGGACTCATAATACAAAGAGGCATGACAAAAAAGAGCCAGTACAAGATTGGATGGTGGGGTCTAGGAGGGCACGCAACAGAGTGAAGTTGCTAACCCTCCAGGAACAAAGCTCGCAATCCTACCACATGGGATGGGAATATAGTCCTGGAAGAGAGCTGAAGAGTGGCTGGAGGGTGAGCTATTGGGCTGGAATTAACTGAGGTGGAGAGTTTCTGGGGATAGGTGATGGCCAGCAAGAAGGAAACATTCTTGACATAAAAGTAACATGGTAGCAGCTATTTTTAGTATCTGCACCAACGACACTTCTCTCCCATCCATCGAATGTATGAAAACGGTTTCATTTCCAGAACCGAGTATGACTGGGCTCAGGATTGGCCATGGTCTTGTTTTGTGCTAAAACACACACTGAACATCCACAGTGACAATATGGAACTGCTCATGCAATAGTGCTGATCATGTAATTGATTGGGGTGGGATTCCATTCCCCTTCCAGGTCAGAAGGGAGCCAACCCACCCCACTATGGTAAGGGTGAGGTTCGTTGCTGGGGAATCAGCATCCTCTGTCCAGAGTATGCCTCAGGCTTGCCTCCTGGTTGGGCAAGTGTGACGTAGTGGAAGTGCCTTGCTAGGGCTGTGGCGACCTCTGCTGTCTGGTCCTTATGCAAAGGGGGCTCCAAACCTGTCTGACCAGCCACCCCCCATGGGGAGAAACAAAGGAAGGTGGATGCTGCCCTGGCTGGGGGGCAGGGCTGGAGGAGAGTTAGTTTAGTTCGGGTCTGGGAGCATGGAGGAAGCAGCCTCAGCAACAGGCTGGGGGGGTTAGAAGCCGAGACCCCTCCCCCATATCAAGGGGGGCTGAGGCATCCTAGGCCTGCCCTGTAACCTGGTGACATCTGTGCTGTGCTGTATTCTGGAGAGGCAATAAACTCCCTCTGTTCTACCAGTTGGTGGAGTCTGTGCATGCCATTTCGAGGGCCAACCCACCCCACTATGGTAAGGGTGAGGTTCGTTGCTGGGGAATCAGCATCCTCTGTCCAGAGTATGCCTCAGGCTTGCCTCCTGGTTGGACAAGTAACATCAGTTAATAGCCCAGACTCAGGTGCAAGCAGGATAGGAAACAGAGGTCACCTATTTAGACAGAGTAGCCTCAGTTCAACTCAGCCTCTGGTTTAGAGTGGAGCAGCACCGCAATTAGTGAGCTTAATCTGATTGCAGATGAAGCAGCAAATATTTAAGGCCCAGGCTCTAGTTCAGGTTCAGAGAAGGGCAGCAGCATATTTAATTAGCCTCTGGCTATCTGCCTGAGGAGACTACCACCCACAGATTGAATGGCAGGCAGGACACAGGCCCACCCACTCCACTATCTCCCAGTGGCAAAGTGGTCTGCCATTGAGTCAACAGTGATCCAGGCCTGCCACTCTATCACCGCTGCAGGCTGCTGAGTGTACCATTCTTGGGCCACCTCCACACGCCTCCTCCATGTGTATGGAACAGAAGTGTCTTGGTTGCTAGGTACCTATGTCACCAGAAGCAGCTCTTCCAGGGTCAGTTCAGCCGGTGCAGCTTCCTTTGGGGTGGGTTCAGTTTGGCCAAGGATCCAGGTGGCCCAGACCAGTCATCAGCTTCTTCCAGGTCTACTACCAGCACAGACACTCAGGCTACATCTACACTGGCAGCTTCTTGTGCAAGAACAGCTGTTCTTGTACAAAAACTTGCCGGGTGTCTACACTGCACTTGCATTCTTGCGCAAGTAAATTTACAGTCTAGTATCGGAAAACAGGGCTTCTTCTGGTAGAGTTATTCCTCTCCCCAGGAGGAATAAACCTTCTTGCGCAAGAGCTCTTGTGCAAGAGGGCAGTGGAGACCGGCAACATGAATTTCTTGTGCAAGAAACCCCTATGGCTAAAATGGTCATCAGAGCTTTCTTGCGCAAGAGAGCGTCCACACTGCCATGGATGCTCTTGTGCAAAAGCACATCTCTTGCGCAAAAGCACATACCAGTGTAGACGCGCTCTTGTAGAAGACTTTTTGCGCAAGAACTCTTCCTTGCGCAAGAACTGTTTTGCGCAAGAAGCTGCCAGTGTAGACATAGCCTCAGTGAATGCATCTCTGCCAGTGGCTGGGTTCCAACTTAGCCCTCAACTCTGCTTTTTATACTTCTGGCCCTGCCCCTCTGATTGGTCTGGTGAGAAGTGGTCTTCCCCTTCTGGGTCAGAGGAGAACAAGCCAATCTGTCTCAGTACAGTCATAAGAACAGCCATACTGGGTCAGATCAAAGGTCCATCTAGCCTAGCATTCTGTCTGCCAACAGTGGCCAATGCCAGCTGCCCCAGAGGGAGGGAACACAACAGGGAATCATCATGTGATCCCTCTTCTGTCATCCATTTCCACACAAACAGAGGCTAGGGAAACTATTCCTACCCATCCTGGCTCAGAGCCATTGATGGACCTAATATTCATGAATCTATCTAGTTCTTTTTTGAAACTTGTTAAAGTCCTTGTCTTCACAACATCCTCTGGCAAGGAGTTCCACAAGCTGACTGTGCACTGAGTGAAGAAAAACTTCTGTTTGTTTTAAACCTGCTGCCTATTAATTTCATTTGGCGACCCCTAGTCCTTATATCGTGGGAATAAGTAAATAACTTTTCCTTATTCACTTTTTCCACACCAGTCATGATTTTATAGACCTCTATCATATCCTCCCTTAGCCTCCTCTTTTCTAATCTGAAAGTTCAAGTCTTTTTAATCTCTCTCCATATGGGACCTGTTACAAACCCCAAACCATAGACTTTTAGAATACTAAGTCATCAAGTCCAGTCTCCTGCCCTCATGGCAGGACCAAGCACAGTCTATATCATCCCTGATAGATGTCTATCCAACCTGTTCTTAAATATGTACACTGATGGAGATTCCACAACCTCCGTAGGCAATTTATTCCAGTGCTTAACCACCCTGACAGTTAGGAAGTTTTTCCTAGTGTCCAACCTAGTTCTCCCTTACTACAGTTTAAGCCCATGGAGTGTTCTGATTGTTTGCTAGCCATTCTGCTCACAATCTATGCAGAGTGACGTCTGGCTGAGACACATTCAGTGCAGCGCTTACTGATAGGAGCAGGGTTTTGCATTTGCTGAGTTGGATAGGGCTGCTCTCCAGGGACCACAGACATCCTAGTGTGAATTTTGGATACTCTGTGTTGCAAACAGGTCACATGCACCCAGAGCTAATCTAAGGGTACGTCTAGACTACATGCCTCTGTCGCCAGAGGCATGTAGATTAGGCTACCCGACAGAGTAAAATGAAGCGGCGATTTAAAGCGGCGCCGCTTCATTTAAATTTACATGGCTGCCGCGTTGAGCCGACAAGCAGCTGATCAGCTGTTTGTCGGCTCAACGCGGCAGCCATGTAAATTTAAATGAAGCGGCGATTATTTAAATCGCCGCTTCATTTTACTCTGTCGGGTAGCCTAATCTACATGCCTCTGGCGACAGAGGCATGTAGTCTAGACGTACCCTAAGGCTTGATAGGGAAGCTCTATGAGTAGGTTGATTAGGGGCTGGCAGACACTACATTCTTACTGGAGTGTATCAGCATTAGTCAGACTTCATTGGCTCAATCACTGCATACAGCAGGGCTACGTCTACACTGGCAGCTTC